ACACACACACACACATACATATATATATATATATATATATATATATATATATATATATATATATATATATATACATATATATATAGGATCATTATACACACACACGCACACATATCTTTAGATCTATTTCTAAGTAAGACTATCGATGTACCACGTACTACTACAGTACTTTTTTGTGTACAAACAAACCTTCGTACATAACATGTTCTCGTGCTGGATCCAGATTTAATAGTCTATATATCTGGTGAAAATATATCTGGTACTCATCTACACCACTCCATCAAAATCAATAACGAGATCGAGTAATATTACACATTTTCACATGATAATAAGGCATTTTACCGTCTTCGTCGATATGAGTGGATGAAAGCAGGGGTTCTGTGTCTTCATGAGCCCGTCGAGGCATAATAATATTTCAGATGAAACTATTTATGAGTTTAAACTACATAATCGCTGGTCAAAACATTCAAGTTTTGTAAACAGAAGAGTTGGTGGGCGTGGTTTGTGTCAACGTCACCAAGGCCCGCCCCTCTCACGCGCACTTCCTCAAATTTAATGATAGTTTTTTAAATCAGATTTTTTTCCATTTAAAAACATAGGAATCCATAACGACTGAACCCAAGCTGGTTTTTATTAAAAACAGTTATCAGTGTATGAATAATATTTTATATTGCATTACTTGGGCGTGGTCTTGTGAGCGTGACACAACAGCGCAAACCCCGCCCCTGATGACCACCAGGCGTCGCTGTTTACCGCGCTCTCTCTCTCCCCGTTTAAGTTTAATGTCGCTCTGTCATTTTTATCTCTCGCTTGTAATAAAGTTTTTCCGTGTGTGTGTGTGAGGAGCTGAAGATGGCGGCCAGCTCGGAGCGCAGTCCTCCGCCTTTCCCGGACTCAGAGGAGCCCGAGCTGCTGGAGGACAGCGACGAGGGCGCGGATGCGTTCACCGGCACGGTAAGTCACAAAACTACACGCAATCACAAAGCTAATTACCTGTAAACTTCATACAGACAAGACAGTAAGAGAAGAAGAGCGATCACTTTCACTTCTCTGACACCCTCAGATCTGCCCGTTCTCCTTCTTCAGCCAAGCTGCTTTATATACGGAGTTTTCTGTGATCATATTTGCGTAACGATTTAATAAAGATGTCTTTTTTCAGCATCACCTCATATTTGGTCCTTCCGCATGATTAAATAGATCTGGGTTAGGCCTGCATGTGACATACTGAAGTTCTTGGAGGACTCTTGTAGTTGGGTAAATAATATCACAAGGAATGTGACCCAGTTTTTCAAACTGACTGAAGTCACACTGTGTGTGTGTGTGTGTGTGTGTGTGTGTGTGTGTGTGTGTGTGTGTGTGTGTGTGTGTGAGAGAGAGAGAAAAACGTGTTGTGTTTAATATGGGAAGTGTGACAATACGTGAACTTGTTTATGCAAAAGCACCCAAAGCACTGTAGTTAAGATATGTTATACATATTAAATATGCATGCATGCATAGCAAAACTAAAATATGTGTATTAGAAGGCAGGTCTATGTGAATGAGCTGGTGTCCAGCTGTCAATATTTACTTATTGTAATAATTCCAGTCTTTTCAGGTCAAAGTACTGATGGTGTGATCATGTGAGTCTCAGATGTGAGTGAACATCTAAATGCCTTTTTTTCCCCTTGGCAAGCTTTTATTTTGGTAAGGTTTTGCTGTGTGGGAAGGAATTTACAGTTGCTGTACGTGAGTCATGGTAGGGTGGATTGGTGTATCTTGAAGGTTGTAGGTTTGAACCCAGCATGAGCTCTACCCATTGTGCCGTTAAGCAAGGGTTAATCCAGATGGCTTTGGATGAAAGCGACTGCAAAATGACTACTTACTATGTGAATCTCTGGAAAATGTGCAGGTCTAATATATAGCATATAATAAATATTTAACCCTAAAATCAAAAATGGAAATATGAACTTATTTAACATCATAATAAAAAAGTAGCCCGTTTTAGGAGCATTGTTAGGGACAATTTTATTTATTTTATTTACATTAAAAAAAATTAATAATGTGACGTTTGTTCAGTAATGAAAACCACCCTTTTGGAAATCAGTTATGTTGATATACTTCAAATCACCAGTTGTAAAAATGCTGAAATGCATACAAATAACAAACACTAACATGATAAATATTTTACAGTTTAAATAGTATATGATTCTGTTACAGTAATGAGAATTTGGTTGGAAAATGTGCTTGAGTTTCAATGCAAAAAAGTACTGAAATTTGCTTGCTTGCTTTATTTAATTTATTTTAAATCGCCAATTGTACAAATGCACATATCTTGCATAAAAATAACAAATACTAGCAATATTAATATTTACTATTTAAATACTATGTAATTACTGTTATAATAATGAGAATTTGGTTGGGAAAATCTGCCTAATTTCCAATGCAAAGAAACATGAAATAACAAATATCTGCACTAACATGATAAATATTTTACTGTTTAAACAGGCTGTGTCTAATTATTGTCACAATGAATAATGAAAGCTTCAAATAGCATTAAAGCTTTAAAAAAGCTTAACATTTTTTATTTATTTTAAATCATCAATTGTAGAAATACATCAAATACTAATTACTGTTACAATAATAAGAATTTGGGTGGGACATATGCTTACTTTTCAATGCAAAATAAAATAAAAACTTTATTTATTTATTTAGTGGAGAACTTTAACCAGGCAGATTATGTGAGATTCAACCCAAAAAATGTTTACTGTATTTAATTAAATCTCATGCCAGATGGAAAAGTATTGCACAGGCTGTTAAACACAATCGAATCTTGTTTCAGCTCATAATAAATATATTTATAGTAATTTTACAACATTAGCTCTACATCATTTCTGTGCTGTTCCTAGTCAATTTCTGAGATGGATTCTCCGTCACCGGACTCAACCAGACCTCCTAAAGACATCTTCAACGAGCCACCAGAAGACATCTTCAGCGATCCTCTTAGCAACATTAACTCTGAACCCCAGAAGAAAGTAGACGCCAAGATCCCTTCTCCTAGTAGCGATGAGGCCATCGACCTGTTCAGCGACCCGCTGGACGATGATAGCGAAGTAATGAGTTCACCTGAGGTCCAGAATCCCATGCCAGATCTCTTGAACGAGCCTGTAGAAGCGCCAAAGTCTGATGTCCTCGGTGAACCACCAGTGCACAGAAACGCAGCCCGACAGCAGGATGTTTTTGAAGACCCTCCGAAGAGCAGCAGCAAAAGCTCTTCCGTCAAGAAAGCAGCGAGTGCGGAGATGTTCGGTGACGACGATGATGAGGAGGATCTGTTTAAGGAGCCGCCAAATGTTGTGACGAAGAAGCCTCAGCCCTCGGGACCACCTGTTGATGTTTTCACAGAGGTGAAATCAGACGTGAAGGTCAAGCCACAGGTTAAAGATGACCCCACGGATCTGTTCGCTGAGGAAGCCTTGACGGCACCTGCCCCCAAACCCTCCGCCGGCAGCAGCAGCTCCAGGACCAATGGGGTTCACTCTGAGGAGCAGGATCTCTTCTCAGGTACATTCAAACCATCTACTTGGAGAGCATTTTTGGGCATCATAACACAAATTGATTCAAACCTAGTGAGCGTCCTACCTAGTCAGCATTTTTGAGCATAATATGTAACGTGACTTCTAAATGTTTATTGGGAAAATGAAAATTGTCGATTTACTCACCCTCATGTCATTCCAAACCTGTAATACTTCTGTTCAACACAAATGAAGATATTTTTAACCCTTAAAGGGATAGTTCACCCAAAAATGAAAATGTTATGTTTATCTGCTTACCCCCAGGGCATCCAAGATGTAGGTGACTTTGTTTCTTCAGTAGCACGGAAACGTATATTTTTGGAGTCCAACAGTCTTATAATGCATGGCAATGGTAACAAAATCTAGGAGTGTAAAAAAAACATGCACAGACAAATCCAAATGATACCCTGCAGCTCCTGACGACACATTGATGTCCTAAGACACGAAACGATCGGTTTGTGCCAGAAACCGAACAGTATTTATATAATTTTTTACCTCTAATACACCACTATGTCCAACTGCTTTGAGCACGCGCACGACTTCCGGTGCGTGAGGTGTGTACGCGCTCTGGTGTAGTTTACGCAAACGCCGGAAGTGATCTCTCGCGCGTATACGTCACTCATTGTTTACACAGTGCACAAACATTGTAGGTAAAATCTACGTTTGTGTTCTACTGAAGAAACAAAGTCACCTACATCTTGGATGCCCTGGGGGTAAGCAGATAAACATCAAATTTTCATTTTTGGGTGAACTATCCCTTTAAATGCATGAATGTTTCGCCAACCATTGTTACATATTCGGGTCTTTAGCGACCCGGACCTATATATCCAGCAAGGATGGATCACTAACTGCTGCAATAGCAAAAAACTCACTTGATATTTTAAGAACAATTACAGAAGAATAAAATAAAGCATATTTCGTTACCTTTTGAAACTTAAAAGGGTTAAATTTGAGCAGATGATTTTACCATCGCCGTCATCGTCAGAGTGCACTTCCACAGTACATTCAGCATCTGCCTCACGTTCACAATCTCAACCATATTCTCAAAAATATCATTTTCAATCACTGGCAGCTTGTTCACCACATCCAGCATCAAATGACAGTGACATTTATATTTCATTGCGTATAGTAATTGCTATGCAGTAAAGCCATTCAAACCACTTACATTTTTGCTGATGATATTCGTTTGTCCGTAATTATGAGTGAACGTCACGTAATCATTGTGTATCCAAACAGTGCCACCTTGAGGAAAAAAAGATGCATTGCACATATTGAGTCATCAGATATGTAAATATAGTTGCGCAGGAAAAAATACTTACACATTTACGTACCTCGGGTCTCTAGCGACCCTATACACTTTTTACAAAAAATTAATCAGAAAACAGGCATTCTTTTATATTTTACTATTTTTTTCTTTTGTTGTTTATAATTAATAGATTGAGGAATACTAAGAAAGTTGATGTCTAACTTAAAAAAATGAAGGAGGGAGAGGGTAGAGAATGATGTCCCGGATCGCTAAAGACCCGAGGTATGCATTTAAGGGTTAATGGAGATTTCCATCCCTCTGTTGACAGTCTACTAAACTACCACTTTGATTCTTTAAAAAGTGAGATCGTAAGAGATCGTAAAACTAATCCATATGAATCAAGCGGTTCGTGACATTTTTGGGCATCATACGTGTGCTTGAACATTTTGCATTTGAAAGTTTGATTTGTGTTTCGAAACCTAGTGAGATGCCTAGTTTGGTTTATGTTTCCAGACAACAATTAGGCCTTCACAGGGGAATCTGGTTTCTTGATTCATGTTTTAGTACCTTGTGAGGCACAGGTGAATGTTCAAAACGAACATTTGAAGCAGTGTTGTTGTTGTTGATTGAAATAAAGCTGAAATAATAAAAAAAGTAATTATTAAATGAAAAACTTAAACTTTAAAAAAACTAGAAATTAGAGATCTTGCTTTAGTAACTACCTGGCTTAAGTTTAATAAAATTACCGAAGTACTAAAAACTTAAATAAAAATTAGAATATAAAAATATACATATTTATACATATATATATTAAATATAAAATACAAATTTTTATAACTAATTAGAAATATTTAAATAAACAGACTAATGAAAATGTCAAAAGAACATATGATTACTAAGTATTAAACTAAAATTAAACTGAAAATATAAAAATAATAGCCAATTCAAAATATTAATAAATGCTATCATAGAATATAAATAATACTGAAATAACACAGATTTGCAGTGCTGTAGGCTTTTCAGGCTTAGCGTTTTTTATCCGCAACGAAACATTTTCCTGCTGTTGACTCCTTTTACTGACACATTTATTGTACGAACAGGAATGCATGCACATCACTTTTGAGCGATGGATGATCAATTCGCTTTCTCAGCGTTGACTCAGGAAGGGGAAAAGGAATTCCTCCTTGACCTTTGCCCTCTCACCCTGCGCTATGTTGCTGATGCAATGTGTTTTGTGTGTGTGTGTTGCAACATCTTTTCAGTTTTATTGAATACATAAAATACACTTTCTCTCACTATTTTACTCAGAAGCTACAGTGGAGTTGTCTCTGGACAGTCCTCGTAATGACCGCAAGAACAAAGATGCTGTGAAACCGTCAGTATCGGCTCCTGCCGCCCCTGTAGCCAGCAGCTCCAGCAAAGCTCCGTCCAAAACCCTGGAGGAGGTAAAACACTCCCTGAACTTCTAAAGAGGTTGGGAATCGGCTGTTTAAAAAAAATTAAAATACTGAAACGGAGTGATGTTTGATTCCTTTAATGACCCACTTCACATGCAAATGACTCTTATGAGCTGATTCTTTTGAATGAATCAGTCTTAAACTCATGCATTATTTATTTCTATTGATTTAAAATGTACACATACACCAAATTTATTCTATATACTACAAGAATCATTAAATAGAATCGGAATCAAAACCAGATTTGTTAAATTTCTTGCGATCTCTAGAGGTCATCAAACCTTCATACACCTCTCAGAGGAATTTCTCACTCGGTTTCCCTCTTTTTTCTGTTTCCTTTTTTCACGTAAAGCTTGAGGAAGAGGAAAGTGAGGACAAGTTTGATCTGAACATTTCTATCACGAATCCAGAGAAAGTCGGTAAGATCGTCCTCCGCTATGAGAGCTGCGCTTTACTTTCTAATATCTTTTTTTCAGGCTTTTGAGGATTAATACTGTACTCATAAAACATTCGTTTAAAATAGCATTTGAACACAGTAGTGGGCTGAGTTTGCAGAAAACGGGAGACTTATCTTATGAGGTGAAATTATTCTATTTAAGGATCTGAATCACTGATACGGCAGTCTGGAACTTCCTCTTTTTGCCCTGTGCCAGCTATTTTTCATTTCCTGTCCTTCTCCTTTTTAAAGGTTTGGTGTTACTATAATGTCTAAAATCAGCAGTAAATGTTATAGGGAAGATGTGTAATATTTTGGTTTGCTCACAATTACTGGCAGTTTCACTATATATGGGATATATTAAAACTATATTAAAAGGGTCATATGATGCGATTTCAAGTTTTCCTTTCTCTTTGGAGTGTTACAAGCTGTTCGTGAATAGATAAGATCCCTAAAGTTGCAAAGACTAAAGTCTCAAACCCAAAGAGATATTCTTTATAAAAGTTAAGACTCGTCCACGCTCTCCTAAAATGCCTCGTTCTAACACGCCCCCACATGTCTACGTCACTGTGTGGGAAGATTTGCATAACACCACCCAAATGTTCACGCAAAGAAAGAAGGCGTAACTTTTATTCTGGCTGTAGTATTGTTGCTGCCGCCGCCATGGTGTGGAGACGCTGTGTGTTTCGTTGTGAAAGCGTAACTACTTTGTTTGGTCTTCCAAAAGAGGACACGACTAGAAATCAGTGTTTAAGTTGTATTTACAACACTGTTCCAGAACAGTTCAACCCAAATATTCAGATGTGTGCAGCACATTTTATGGAGGACTGTTTCCTGTTCCTGGGAGAGTAGACTACAATGCCGTTCCGTCACACGCTTGAGGTATTCGGCCAATCACAACGCACTGGATAGCTGGCCAATCACAGCACACCTCGCTTTTCAGACCGATGAGCTTTGTAAAAATCGACGCGTTTCAGAAAGGCGGGGCATAGAGGAGAAACAGTAATGTACAGTATGTGGAAAATAATGTGTTTTTTTAACCTTAAACCGCATAAACATATTTCATTGCACCAAATACACAAAATAATGTTATTTTTTAGCAACGTCATATGACCCCTTTAAACTATATTTAACTATATTATGGTTTTATAGACAGTTACAGAGAAGATGTGATGAGTTTTGGTTGTTTGTGATTTAGCAGGTACTGATTATGTAGTTACAATTCCAGAAATATATTTGTTTTGGAGGATCTTGAGAATAACTGTTTAGATCCTATAATAAAAAAACAGGATTTTTTTTTTGTTCTTTTGAAAAAAATCTAATAAATGCACTGTGTATTTAAAGCAAAACTCCCTCCCTAATCCAACCAATGTGCGAAGAGGTTAGCCAATCATAACAGAGGTCATTTAAATACGGAATTTATTTATTTATTTATTTTTGTATAGGGCCCTATGAAACCAATTTTCCCAAATTCTGTTGATGAAAAAGCATGTCTAATTAATTGAAATCATGAAACTTTCTAACAGTGTAATAATTTATTATTATTTTTACAATAATAGGGCCCTATTAAATGTTTTATTTTGAATGTTTGTGTTTATTTTTCTGTTTACATTTTCTGTCTTGCTAAGATCATAGGGCTTATTTACACTAGTCTGCTGGTTTAAGCTGATCTTCTGGCCTGGAGAAACTGGTGTTTTGCTGATTTAGTCTGAAAAGCTGACAACTCTTTTAAAACCAGTGTATCAGACCAGTCTTGGAGACCAGGTTTGGCCGGTTAAAGGGGACATAACACACACAGTTTCGGCCAGTGTTAAAATGTAATATATAGTAGTGTTGCATCCTTCATATCTCCAAAGATTCTTTAGTTTTAGATTTGTAAAAGACAGATACAGCTTTACGCTTCTCTCCGAAAACAGCCGAGCTCCTGGAGGCCATGTTTAATATGAGAATCCAACTCTTTAACAGTGTAAATAACTCAGAATGCATGAAATAGCATTTTCTTCAGCCAGGAGAGCAAGATCATAAAGCATCTCAGCTACTTGAAACTAAACCTGTTTGTAATATTTAAACATTTACATTAGCAGCACATTTGTGTTATATGGTATGGTATGCTTTTTGAGTTTTTTTGGTCTGTTGGATTTCTTTTGCTCATGCAAGGTGATTCTCTCTCTCTCGCTTCTCCTCACAGGTGATGGTATGAACGCTTATATGGCCTACAAAGTTTCAACACAGGTGATTTTCAGGCTCTTTACTCATCCTGTTCACAATAACACACAATACTGTATAACACACAGTCTGAATCTCACTGCTTTCTCATTGTCTCTCAGACGTCTTTAACCATGTTCCGTAGCAAGACGTTTACCGTTCGCAGACGTTTCAGTGATTTCCTGGGATTGTTCGAAAAGCTCTCGGAGAAACACTCACAGAATGGATACCTCATACCTCCACCGCCAGAGAAGAGCATCCTGGGTAAGAGCTTGCTTCTGCTAATGCATCACATCTGATCTGATTGTGAATAAGTGGCTGATTATGAATAAATGTTTTGCCAGGTATGACAAAAGTCAAAGTCGGGAAGGATGACCCATCGTCAGCAGAGTTTGTGGAGCGGAGGAGAGCTGCTCTTGAGAGGTTCGTCAACAATGTTTCTTATCTAGGTGCACTAAACTAAAGCAATGAATCACCAATCTTCTCTGACTTTTGTCTTGACTAGCCACAGTTGTCAACAGTTGGCCATGATAGAACTTGTCAATCATTTGGTTTCTCTTTTCATGACCTTGCGCTAAGTTGCCCTGCCTCCAATGAAATCTCATTGGTCTAAAATCCCAAGTTACTGCTATTGAGTATTTTAATTTTAATGAGGACTGAAAAATTACTTAGACATAGAATAGAAAAATACTATTGTAGAAGTAACTGATATTCAGTTATATATTATAATTCATGAGGACAGAAAAAGTTTTAATTATTCAATTATTTTTAATTAAATTATTTAAATTAATTATTCAATTAAAAAGTACTTAGACTGGATAATACAATATTAACATTAATTACTACTAACATATGTTTTTTCACATTAATGAAGACAGAAAAATTACTTCGATTGAATATAATGTTAATAGTAATTAATATTAATAAATTACTTAAATTAAACTTCAATTACTTAAAAATTTTTGTATGTATTGTAATGAGGACAAAAAATTATGTAGATATAATATATGTAATGTTAATTATAATTAATACTAATTTATGTTTTAATTTTAATGTGGACAGATGTAATATAATGTTAGTGCTAACTAATCTTAATATATATTTTAATGTTGACAGAAATTATTTAGATTGGCATAATATAATTTGATATTAATTAATTTACTACTAACATTATATTATTATAAAATACTTAGATTACATATACTAAATTATATTATCCAAGTAATCTAAGTATTATATATATTGATATTAATTACTACTAACATTATATGTATTTTGTCTGTCCTCATTAAAATTATATATAATGTCAAGTCACATTTTCATAGTGCTTTATACAATACAATATTAATAACAATTTACATTATATTAGATTATATTACATCACATTTTATTATATTAACCAATCTAAAGTTATTGATTATTTAGATTGGATAATATAATGTAATATTATGTTAGTAGTAATTATATTATATTTGTATATATATAGTATTTGTAATGAAGGCAGAAAAATGACTTTGCTTGAATAATATAATATTAGTAGTTATTAATATATATTTAAATTTTAAACACACAAAAATATTTTTTTCCACTGTAATATAAATGTTAGTAGTAGTAATTATTATTGTACTTATGTCACTATATTAAAATGTAAATGTGAGGATTGTTTGTGTTGTTGCAGGTATCTTCAGAGGGTTGTGAGTCACCCGTCTCTACTGCAGGACCCTGATGTGAGAGAGTTTTTGGAGAAAGAGGAGGTAAAACGGCTTCTGTTTACTGACATAAAAATGAACATTTTTAATTATTCAGCGCATGAAACTGCACAGTTCGACATTAGCATAAACCTCTCCTAAGAGAAGTGACTTGCAGATGTTTATCTGTCTATTCCTCACGTGCAGAAACATCAGCTTTGCTGTTTGTAATGACAATGCAATGGTCTGTGTGTGTGTGTGTGTGTGTGTTAGTTACCCAGAGCAGTCAGCACACAGGCTCTGAGTGGAGCCGGCTTCCTTAAAATGCTGAACAAAGCCACGGATGCTGTGAGTAAGATGACCATCAAGATGAACGAACAGGATGTGGTGAGTGGAAGAACATGCAGGTCTAACCCACACTGAACTCTTCTTTACTGAGATCGAGGCTTAAAACTAGGGATGCACCGATACCACTTTTTCCAGTACTCGCCCGTCTGTGTGTGTGTGTGTGTGTGTGTTAGTTACCCAGAGCAGTCAGCACACAGGCTCTGAGTGGAGCCGGCTTCCTTAAAATGCTGAACAAAGCCACGGATGCTGTGAGTAAGATGACCATCAAGATGAACGAACAGGATGTGGTGAGTGGAAGAACATGCAGGTCTAACCCACACTGAACTCTTCTTTACTGAGATCGAGGCTTAAAACTAGGGATGCACCGATACCACTTTTTCCAGTACTCGCCCGATACCGATACTTTTATTTTTGGTACTTACCGATACCGATATTTTTATTGCATTTGTAAAAAATTTTTAATATTGGGTACAGAAACCAAAAAGGTATGTTAGTTGGTTAACTTCATTTATCAAATAGATACAGTCAAACCAAAATGTATTCAGACACCTTCAACATTTCTCACATTATATTTGCTATAGTTTAGAAAATGGTAATAAAATATGACAAGAACTCCGAGTTAAACTGTGTCAGAACAAATTCATTATTATTTTTTTTAATCATTAGAAAAATAAAATTAAAAAAATTGCTATTACAAACAAGATTTTTTTTTTTTTTTTTTTACATTTTTAGCAATAATAATTAATAATATAAACAACTATGTAAATACATACATGTATCATGATCCTAAAATGTTTAGTCTTGTAGTAATATATCTACAATAATAATCAAATAAAATAAATGATTATAAATTATTTCAAATAAAGTATTATTATTATTAATGATAAAAATTAATTACTTTAATTAAAAATCTGTATCGAATTATTAATCTTGTTCCTGTTGTAATACCATAAGATTTCAGTCATATCATCCAACCCTTAAAATATCTTCTTAATAATAATAATAATAATAATAATAATGTGTTTGTCAGGGGTGTTTTGATCAGAGAATGAAAGCATGGCAGCGCTGGCAGGACGCTGAGAACATGCTGCAGAAGAAAAGAGAGGCCGAGGCCAAACTCCTGTGGGCCAACAAACCTGACAAACTCCAGCAGGCCAAGGATGAGATCTCTGAGGTAACTTGGTGGATGTTTATAGGCTCACCGCTGTTATACAGATAAACGATAGCATCTGTAACCTTAACAACTCAGCTTTATAAGGACTATCTCGTATTCTTATCCTCCAGTGGGAAGCAAAAGTCACGCAGTACGAGAGAGAATTTGAGAGAATCTCAGCCACCGTACGGAATGAAGTCATCCGATTTGATGTGAGACCTGATTTCCACATTCATTTAAATATCAGCATTAAAGGAATGGTTCACCCAAAAATTGTAATTAGCTGAAAATGTGCTCACCCTCAGACCATCCAAGATGTAGAGGAGTTTGTTTCTTCATCAGATTTGGTGAAATGTAGCATTGCATCACTTGCTCACCAATGGATCCTCTGCAGTGAATGGGTGCCGTCAGAATGAGAGTCCAAACAGCTGATAAAAACATCACAAGTAATCCACACCACTACAGTCACATCAATTAATGTCTTGTGAAGCAAGCGGCCTGTTTGTAAGAAACAAATCCATCAAGACGTTTATAACTTCAAACTGTTGCTTCCAGCTAAAATACGAGTCCTCTATTCATAATATTGCTTTCTTCAGTGAAAAAGTCATCTCTTCTGAATCAGGAGAGAAATATGCACTGATCAAGCACTGTTTACAAGTGAAAACAGTTTTAAACAAATATATAGGTGGAATTTGATGCGAGAGGACAGCAGGAGATGGACTTTTCACTGGAGGAAGCTTTATTATTGATTATGGATAATGATATTTTAGCCAGAAGCAACAGTTTGAAGTTGAAAACATATTTATGATGGATTTGTTTCTTACAAACACACAGTTTTTCATGTTAATCGATGGACTGGAGTTGTGTGGATTATTGTGATGTTTTTATCAGCTGTTTGGACTCTCATTCTGACGGCACCCATTCACTGCAGAGGATCCATTGGTGAGCAAGTGATGGAATGCTACATTTCTCCAAATCTGTTCTGAAGAAGAAACAAACTCCTCTATATCTTAAATGGCCAGAAAGTGAGAACATTTTAAGCAAATAACATTTTTTTGGTGAACTATTCCTTTAAATTCTCCTTCGATACCTTTTTCTCTTCAAAAAGACGATAACTATTCATTACAATTTCTTTGCTAACAGAAAGAGAAAGCTCGAGATTTTAATAGACAAGTCATCAAATATCTAGAGTCTCTGCTGCACTCACAACAACAGGTACAGAAACATTTGTAATCATTTTATCTGACTGAATTGTGTTTAAAACATACTCATATTTCACTCTCTCTCTCTCCTCTAGCTGATAAAATACTGGGACGCGTTTCTGCCAGAGGCGAAAGCGATCGTGTGAGGCGGCGTCTGCGCACAAACACAAACTCACCGATAACCGAGGCCTTTCTACACTCTTTACCTCTCGCCTATAAACCAAGAGAAATCGCGCTGCAAAGGGAAATCATCTATCCGGCCGCTCGTTACTCTGAGTTAGTAACTTGTATATTTTCTGTGTAATCTTCACCATTATTTTCTTACATTGCATCTTTATTGTTTTGGGGATGTGAATGCATGTGGTGGCTGGGTGTCTTCCTCGTCTGTATGCAACCAAACCTCTTTCACTTGGATTTGTTACTCGTCAGTAGTGATGTCAGTGGTTTACACTAGAGGGCACTCGCCGCTCATTCATATACTCACGCTCTAAGAAACTTCCCATCAGGCCATTTGTGTGACCTGTCAAGAAGTTTGTACCAATTAAGGAGGGTTTTCAGAGACTAATAGTGACCTAGTTTGTTTTAGACGTCCAGAATATTGGTATATACACTTTTAAACACCATGATGACATTGTATTTTGCAAGTAAAAGAGGTTGTAATAGTTATTGGGGACTGTTGAAATAGAATGACTGAAACTGGCTGGATGCAGTGGAAATGACAGGAACTGTATGTCAACACTTCTACTGATAGAAATTCATCAGTGATTTCTTTTTTTTCTTTTCCAAAGGATCATTTTAAATCTTCTATAGATTTAGGATCATGTTTCTATGTACAGTGCGCAAACGCACTCCTAATGTGTTTTATATCAATATCAGATCTCTTTAACCTGCTCAAACAGGAAGCCCAAAGCACTTCAGTCTTAAAGTTGGTTTTCTTTGTGCATTATTTCATTCCTTTTCTCTTCATTTACTTCATTTTAAGTTTTCATTTGTAGACATTTATGCCAACATGTTATTATTTTGTCAAACCATATTTGTTATCCACTCACATCTGTCATGTTATAATAATTAATAACCTTTTGCTACTCTACTAATAATGATTAAATTGTTTCTACATCAGATTTTGTTTTTTTTATACATTTTGCTGCTGTTAGATTCATTGTCATTCATAACGTTTTGTTGTTTGTTTGTTTATTAGTTTGCTTCATGAATGATATTTTGGGCCCTGCTGTAATGACACTTTGGACAGACATCAACAGGTTCAACTTCACCATTAGGTGCCATAATAATCAAAAGTTTGTTTATTAGAAAAATGGGGGCAGATATTTTTTTCACTATGGACACTTCTTTTGAGGAAAAACAATAAAGATTTAATTACAAATATCAAGCTTTTGATTTAATAGTCTCGTGTGTGTGTGTGTGTGTGTGGATAGATAGATAGACAGCAGTGTTGGGAAGGTTACTTTGGAAATGTAGGTTACAGATTACAAGTTGCTCTATTTAAAATGTAATAAGTAGTGTAACTATTTCAATTACTTTATGAAAGTAATGTAACTGATTATATTTGATCACTTTTCTAAAGAATATTTTCAACTGTTAATCATTTGCAAACATTTAAAGCAAGCAGGGTTAATCTTACAGTAGTACTCAACACTGATTACTGTCAGACTTGCAAAATCCTTCACCACTTGAATTAAGATTATAATGATTTAATTCTAAAGCACATCTACCACAAAATCACCTCGTTTTACTTTCAGATCGTTCTGAGGTTAAATACAGCTTTAAAATCATAAGAAATAGTTTAATAGCTATGAAACTATTTTTGAAATCAAATCTTTGCATAGCTATGACAGGAATCACTGGCATCTAACAATGCCTAGGAAAATAAACAGTTACTCTTAATAAAGCATATACATAAACCCAAATAGGAAATAAAACAGTTATTGAATAAGCATGTGTCCTATTCTGTATCCTGAGCTCCTGAAACACTGGTGTCTCATATTTTACAACAGTGCAATTTGAGATAGATAGACAATTTGAGGTAGATAGATAGACAATTTGAGATGATAGATAGATAGATAGACAATTTGAGATAGATAGAAAAACATGGAGTGATACAAGGATATGTCATATGATTTAATAGTCTCGTGTGTGTGTGTGTGTGTGTGGATAGATAGATAGACAGCAGTGTTGGGAAGGTTACTTTGGAAATGTAGGTTACAGATTACAAGTTGCTCTATTTAAAATGTAATAAGTAGTGTAACTATTTCAATTACTTTATGAAAGTAATGTAACTGATTATATTTGATCACTTTTCTAAAGAATATTTTCAACTGTTAATCATTTGCAAACATTTAAAGCAAGCAGGGTTAATCTTACAGTAGTACTCAACACTGATTACTGTCAGACTTGCAAAATCCTTCACCACTTGAATTAAGATTATAATGATTTAATTCTAAAGCACATCTACCACAAAATCACCTCGTTTTACTTTCAGATCGTTCTGAGGTTAAATACAGCTTTAAAATCATAAGAAATAGTTTAATAGCTATGAAACTATTTTTGAAATCAAATCTTTGCATAGCTATGACAGGAATCACTGGCATCTAACAATGCCTAGGAAAATAAACAGTTACTCTTAATAAAGCATATACATAAACCCAAATAGGAAATAAAACAGTTATTGAATAAGCATGTGTCCTATTCTGTATCCTGAGCTCCTGAAACACTGGTGTCTCATATTTTACAACAGTGCAATTTGAGATAGATAGACAATTTGAGGTAGATAGATAGACAATTTGAGATGATAGATAGATAGATAGACAATTTGAGATAGATAGATAGACAATTTGAGATGATAGACAATAGATAGATAAATAGACAATTTGAGATGATAGATAGACAATTTGAGATAGATAGACAATTTGAGATAGACAATTTGAGATGATAGATAGACAATTTGAGATAGATGATAGACAATTTGAGATAGATAGATGATAGATAGATAGATAGATAGATAGATAGATAGATAGATAGATAGACAATTTGAGATAGATAGATAGATAGATAGATAGACAATTTGAGATAGATAGATAGATAGATATGTGTGTGTATTTATCATTACCATGTGTTATTTTAGTGTTATTTATATCCTATTATAGTATTTATTAATATTTAAATTAGCTTTTGCTTTATATTTTCAGTTTATATTTTAAGTTTAATTTGAGTCATTTTTATGTGCATTTTTCATTATTATTTTTAGTTTTCATTTCTTTATTTTATTTTGACTGATTTTAGTATTTTTAACATTTGATTTCAGTTTTTTTAATCTTCAAATTTTTATTTTCTCCTGTTATTTTAATTTTAATTAATAATAATAATAACAATGATAAAATTGTATAGTTTTAGTTAACAGTAACTACACTGAAAATAACTGGTTGCATTAAATGCTTCTTAATATTTGTCTTTTCTGAAACCTTGAACCAAAAGATCCACATCCACACAGTGGACTAAAGGAAGAAGTGATCCTACAGGCCTTCCCTCTTCTAGTATTTGTTCTGTGTTGAAAGCACCAGCTCTCATTTAATACTCTTATCGTAAATGGTTGTTTCTCTGAGATTTGATGTGGCATTTTCATGTGACCTCATTGAAGGTTTACTGGTAAAATTATGACAGCTGCAGCGGAATTAATCTTTCACCAACAGCCTTTGAAGTATAAATTCATTAATCATTCAACTTTTCAGCTTGTTTGTTTTCCAGCAATCTGTAGCTCAAAAAATGTCCAGGGTTCATGATCAGTTGCTCTTTTTTGGATGAGAATAAACTGAGAGCATTGAATTGAACAGAACAGTTGGGATGACGTGGGAATGCTGGGATAACACTTGAGCATCAGGAATGTGGGTTATCTTCAGACGGGACTGTTTAGTCAGCAGTAAATTCATTCAGACAGAAGAAATGAGGACATCATGTTTAGTGCTGATGCAGTGTTAACTACTGACCTTACAAAAATAGTCCTTCTATTTTAAATACTGAACACTTAAATGTTTATTACTCAAATGATACAGTACTGAAATGGTACAATCAATAGCATTAGTAGAAACTAAGAATAGAATATTTTAATGCACAAATAAATGTACATTTGTAGAAGTTACACAAATATCCTTTTACATAACTTCTCATAAGTCTATTACAGCGTTTATTAAGAATGATAAGTGAAGAACTTTGAATGGTATAATCTCCAGAGAAACATGCAGTTTTCACTCAAAATGAAAGAAAATAAATAAATAAAAATAGTGAGACATCGAGTGTGTTAAAGGCAGGGTAGGTGATTTGGTTCAAAAATATTTTTTTGTTATGCTGGTTGAAAGTCTCTTCACATCCCGATAGCAATCACTAAGTTAAGTGGTTTATTTATACATTTATTTATATGTGTTAATATCGTCTGTGGAAGGCGTAGGACCATAAATTGTTCGACCAATCAGGTCCGAATGGGGACATTTTAATTGGAAAGAGCATTCCTGATAGCTCACGTCACGGAGACGTCTATTTGACGTCTGCATACATCTGCAAGACGTATTTTTTAGAGCGTTGTTCATCTGCAATAGCCTATACACTGTAAAAAAAAATCTGTATAATGTACGGTAAAAAAACGGCAGCTGTGGTTGCCGGAATTTTACCGTAAAAAATACGGTAGCAACATTTTAGGTTTTACGGTTTTAACTTACATTTACAGTTAAATACCGTATTTTCATTAACTGATATAATGTTAATATACCAATCTATTGAAGTACTGAAATCTGTTTTGTACCTTTGTAATACACTGATAACCACCAAATGCAGATGTTGATGAGAAAGTCACATGATGAACCAAAGCCCATCACAAGCAGCTTTTAAATAATAACATATATAGAAGGTGCACCGTGTCATTCACACAAACACTAAACACCATCACGGTAACACACATGAAACTGAAACAACACACAACCCTAATGTACAAAACTGATAAGAAAACAAACCAAGAAGAAACAGCTAAAAACAAAAAAACAATCAAATTTGAAATGTAATGCAGGGAATTCTGGGAATGTCAATTTACGGTTATTCACTGTAAATTATACGGTCTTTTTCACTTCCAAAAACGGTATACTGCCGTAAAATGTATGTCCAACACATGTAATGTCCAGTACAGTTTTTCACCGTATATAGTAAGGGAATTTACCGTTAACCGTTTTTACTCTAGCATTTTTACAGTCTTTTACCGTTAAATTCACTAAATTCATTTTTGTTTAGGACGTTTCCTATCAGATGTCAAATAGACGTTTAGAAGATGTCTTTAAGATGTTTATGATTCAGAATGCATGTCAAACTGACATCTTAAAGATGTTTGTACACAGCAGATGCTTTCCAGATGAAGCGATCTGTAACAGACATCTTGCAGACGTAGGTGTGCTACCTGGGATTTGATTGGACAAAAAAATAAATAAGTAAATAAAAGAATAAATAAAAAAGCGGACACGCCAGTGAAGACGATTATGTCATTGACATTTTTAATCTCTCAGTTTATATAACTCGTTTTTGTTTGTTTTTTTGCTCTCTGGCAGTTGGTTTACCTGTACTAGCAATGTTTTTCATTGCAATTTTTGTATTCAATGCTATTTAATTAATAAATTAACATGCTATTCCTTAATGTTCGGTAAGATCTTAATCTTCAAAGTCCTGTCGTTCTGTATGAATGGCTTTATTTCTCTCAGCTGTGTGTGTGTGTTTGGAGGAGGAGCTCTGGAGATGCACCCCGGATTGTTTCCTCAGTCAGTCAGTCAGCAGTGATCATATTCAGAATCACAGCACAGGAGTTGATCTTCAGTTCGCTCTGTGATCTGTGCGCTTGTGTTGGAGATGTTGGATCATCAGTGTGTGTCTCCGGTCATCGAGGTCTTTATTCCGTCTCTCATGAGGGAAGTGGACGAGACGGGAAAGTTGCGCAAAGTAAGTTATACAGAAACTCTGTGGTTCCCCAACAGTGATATATTAGCTATAATCTATAGAGCGCGAACGTGCGTTTGACGTTTTGCACTTGCTTTTGTAGTTGTCATTTATTTTGAAAGTTAAGAATAATGTATTAGTCGGTCTTTGAGGCTATCATGGTAACCAAAGGTGCAACTAAAATACCATACAGTTATTACTGTAAAACTATAGTAAATTAATGAGATATCAGTGTATTTCGTTATTTCTATAATGTTGTTTCACTTTTCAACTATTGTGACTGCACATTGGAGGAAAACATGGTAAATTATTGCAAAGTTCCTTGTATTTTAGATTTTATACTCGTGTATGAGTTCTAAGAAGATCCACTGTCAACGTTCTGTGACGTCATGTTGCCTAGCAACCGAAAATAGAAAATTATTGCTTACATGAAATTATCATTTTCCTTATAATATATGTTTTATTTTAAATAAATGCATAGCAAATGTTAGAAAATGTATTCATTTAGCAGACAACACGTCAAACACGTTGTGGCAACATAATTTTTTTGTACTACTATTGTAACGTTGGTTGTAACAATGCAGAAATGTTATATGCAAGAGAGCTGTAGCAACCTTGTTGCGCTACATTTAGATGAACTTCCAACTAGGGATGGCTAATTTATTGTGCACTTATATTTTCAGCATGTTGTCACAACGTTATTTAGACGATTTGTTTGGATTTGTCAATGTCCTGTTTACTAGGAAGCAACAAATGAGAACAATACAAGCATAAGTGATATCAGAGTACTAGAGTACACCAGACAAATGACTATTTAAATGCAATAAAATCTAAGGTAAGAAGTTAGTTAAGTGTTTCCCTTAAAGGTGTGTCTCCAGTGGATTTGAACGATTTTACGGAAAAATGACGAAATATGCAATTCTATAGAAGAGAGATGAGATGCACCCCAGCAGCTCTACTGTCATCACTTACTGGAATATATGGAGCAGGAATATGACACGATTTAGACCGTGTGAAGCATCTCGACTCATTTAAACAAGAGATCATCTGAATGTTCTTACTCTCGATTCTGGATGATTTGAGTGCTTTACACCATTCATAGCACTGTCTGATGACTATGGAAGCATAATTTCACCATGAAATAAAAATATTACAATTTCACAATCTCACAATTGTGTTTATATCTCACAATTCAGACTTTTTTCTACAAATTCCGAGTTTATATCTTATAATTGCAAGTTGTAAACTCACAGCTCAAGTTTTTTTCTCTGAATTGTGAGTTTACATCTCACAGTTCTGACTTTTTTGTCTCAGAATTCTCAGTTTACATCTTGCAATTCTGACTTTCTCATAATTGCAATTTTATACCTTGCAGTTTTACATCTCACAATTCTGAAATTTTTCCCAGATTTATGTTTGCATCACGCAGTTCTAACTTTTTTCTCAGAATTGCGAGTTTACATCTCACAATTCTGACTTTTTTTCACAGAATTCTAAAGTTTGCATCTTGCAATTCTGACTTTTTTTCTTAGATTTACAAGTTTATATCTTGCAGTTGTGGGTTTACATCTTGCAATTCTGACTTTTCTCATAATTGCAATTTTATATCTCACAGTTTAAATATCTAAATTCTGAAATTTTCCTCAGATTTGTGAGTTTATATCTCTCAATTGTGGGTTTGCAGAATTCAGAATTCTGAGTTTACATCTCGCAGTTCTAACTTTTTTTCTCTGAATTGCGAGTTTATATTTTGCAGCTGTGAGTTTGCATCTCGCAATTCTGACTTTTTCTCAAATTTACGAGTTCATATCTTGCAAATGCAAGTTAACTTCTCACAATTCAGACTTTTTTTCTCAGAATTTTGCATGTGCATGCAGTCAGGTCAGGTCAGGTGTCTAAAAGTTCGGGGAAAAAATATAGAATTGGGAAATGTAAACTCACAATTCTGAGAAAAAAGTGAGAATTCTAACATGTAAACTTTAGAATTCCGAGAAAAAAAGTCAGAATTGCGAGATGTAAACTCAGAATTCAAAGAAAAAAGTCTGAATCGTGAGTTCTAAACTCGCAACTTGTGAGCAAAAATAGTCCGAATTGTGAGATAAAAAGTGGTGGAAAATAAGCTTCCATAGATAAATAGTAGAACCAGTGTGTTGCATGGAGTCTGAGCCAGTTCTCTAGGACTGTCCAGCTGCAACCAAAACCGACCCAGCCAAGAGTGAAGGAAAGAGAGTCACTGTGCTTTCAAAACACTTAAAAGATGTTTTGTGTGTCGTCTAGATCAGTGGTTCCCAACCCTGGTCCTTGAGGCACCCCAACACTGCACATTTTGCATGTCTTCTTTCTCTGACACACCAATTTCAGGTCTGATGTGTGTTCATTTAAGGAGACATGCAAAACGTGCAGTGTTGGGGTGCCTACAGGACCAGGGTTGGGATTGGGAACCACTGGTCTAGATAACACGATGCAGTTTTGGTTCATTTATCAGATCAGATGGAGCCAAATCAGCTGACCGAACTAGAATGTGTGCATTTTCCTCACATCGTTCCCAACAGCGTGTGCTTCTGTATGGTTTGACCAGTTTATGATCAGAAATGGATAACATGGAGCTGTATGAGGAGTTTTTGTGCTCTGAATGAGAGGGTTTATGGGGGGCAGTTGTCTGTGTGTGATGCTAAAAGTAGAACAGCTAAATCACAGCTGAATCACAACCACACGGCAACATGCTGATGTCAGTCAAAGCTGTAATGGCAAACGCACACTCGCACCTGTCAGACTGAGCAAGCCATGAAAACATCTCTGGACACTGAGAGCCGTAGAACTTCAGAAGAATGGAGGTCGGAGGTCACAGTTGAGAGAGATTAATTTTACTGTACTGGAGATGAATAGAGAAAGAGTGCTCTTCATCTTAACGGAAATATCCGGCCCTGAACATCAGCAACAATGAGAGCTCTATAAGATCGAGAGAGGGAGAAACTGGGTTTAAATCGAGTCCTTGTGACCCCGATAAACATGACACAATCTGGTGCCCAAAAGAGACATGTGTCTTCATTGTTAACCAGGAATGCTCTCCCCCCCGCCTGCACTAACTCACTTTACCCATAAAGGGAGAGTGCAACTAAAAATGAAAATTCTCATTGAATTTACTCACATTTCCATTACAGTTCCAAACCTGCATTATGTGAATCTTTCACCTATAATAATTTTTTAAAAAGTATGATTTTAGTATACATTTTAGTCATTTTGCAGACGCTTTTATCCAAAGCGAGTATAAGTAGTATATATGGATTTTAATGTATTTATTTACTAAAATGTATTTAAGTGTATATATATATTTTACATTTATTTAAACACTTATAATAAATGTATTTAAAAATAAATAAATAAATGTATATCTATATAAATTAAATTGTATATATATATTTATACATTTATATAAAAGAGCCTATTTCACTGTATGGAAAATAGCTTTAATATTTTAGTATATAATAGATTTAATTGATTAATTTAATTTATTTCTATTTAATTTATTTATTGTAAAAAATATTTATTTACATATGTATTTTATAATATAAATACATTTATATAAATTAAATTGTATATATTTATTTGTGATCGACAACCCATCCACTTTTTAAAGAGCATTCATATTTTAATATACTGTATTTAATATATTTATTTTAATTTATTTATACATTCATATTTTTAATAAATGTATTTATATTTCTGAGTAAATGTATATTTATATAAAGGCACATGTATGGTGTTCGGCAGCCTGTTCTCTTTCATTGAATGGAAAAGAGCAGTGTGAACAGTGTGTCTAACATCATCTTTTGTGTTCCTTTGACAGCTCTTTGGTCTTGGCCATGGTGGAGTTTGGAGTGTGACTGTTTGAGGTTGTGGACAGGTGTCTTTTATACTGATAACGAGTTCAAACAGATGCCATTAATACAGGTAACGAGTGGAGGACAGAGGAGCCTCTTAAAGAAGAAGTTACAGGTCTGTGAGAGACAGAAATCTTGCTTGTTTGTAGGTGACCAAATACTTATTTTACCGAGGAATTTACCAATTAATTCTTTAAAAATCCTACAATGTGATTTTCTGGATTTTTTTTCTCATTTTGTCTCTCATAGTTGAGGTATACCTATGATGAAAATTACAGGCCTCTCTCATCTTTTTAAGTGGGAGAACTTGCACAATTGGTGGCTGACTAAATACTTTTTTGCCCCACTGTATATATATATATATAGATCAGTGGTTGACATGGTAGTAGTTACAGAGCAATTTAATTTAGTTGAAGTCTGTTCTGATCGTTTACGGGTTTTATGACAGACTCTCTTGTTTTTCAGCTCTTCAGGTTGGAAATTCTCTTCAATGGAAGGAAACACTTTGTTTTGCGGAGACACAGTGAATTTCAGATGCTTCACCGGAAGCTGAAGAAGATTCTGCGCGCTCCTGATTTCCCCAGTAAGAGAAATCAGCACCTGCGAACCAAACCGCTGGAGCAAAGACGGCAGGAACTGGAAGACTACATCCAGGTAGATATAGTTATTTTATATTATATTATGTTGTTGTTTTATTATTTTAAAAAATATTTTATTGTTTTATGCTATACATTTTTTATGCCTATTTTATTCTGTTATAGTATTTATTCATATTTTGAATTAGCATTATTTATTTTTAAATTTTTTTGTCATTCTTTTTAATAATTTGATTTAGCTTTAATTTGTCTATTTCCGTTTTAGTAGTTTTAGTACGTCAAAGACTAACTTTAGTTAATTACCAAAGGAATAATTCTTATTTTCGTTAAATTTTTTTATTTATTTAAGTTTTAGTTTATTATTTCAATTACCGAATTTTTTTTTGTATAGTTTTTGTTAGCAATAACAACACAGGTATAATAGTTTATTAAGCATATGTTACGGTGGCCGAGAAGTGCAAAGCAAATCACAATTCTGAAAACAAAATAACAAATTACAAACGCCTTTAGCCCTGTTGTACCCTACTCATTTGACAAAATAGAGGATCATTGAGGGTCATATTATGGGATACAGTATTGCACGCAATCAGGTTGTAAAAAGCACATTTTGTTTTGTTTTTAACCTTTACGAGACCTGTGTTCTAAAAGGGCAAATGTGTTTGGAAATCGAAATATTCAATATACACCAAAAAAATAATTAAAATCACATACTAAGCACAGTCTGTACAACATACTGCAAAAATAGAATATTAGTATGCTATTTCAAATGTAGCACCCTCACCCCTCATCACCTTGTTTTTGGATATTTGATGAGAAATATTACTTGCATTTATTTATTTTAAATAAGAAATCAATACTTTTATTCAGCAAGGATGCATTAAATTGGCCAAAAAACATTTTTTATTTCAAATAAACGCTGTTCTATTGAACTTTCTATTCATCAAAGAGTCCTGAAAAAGGTATTACCGTTTCCACAAAAATATGAAACAGCACAACTGTTTTCAATATTGATAATAATAAGAAATATTTCTTGACTGAATGTGTGGCAATCACTGTTCCTGGGGCATCCGGGGAGGAGATTTGAGCTGCGCCCGGAATTCAGTCTCAACCCCGGGGCGAGAGTTTAACCCTAGAGCTGATCCAGGAACAGTTAAGTAAGTCTACTCGCTGTGGGAACACCCGACGCTGTGCGCACGACCAACTGATCTGAGAACAGGCGCTGGAAGCGCACTCCGCTCTAATTGACGTGTCCCGACCCATCGGACGCTGATTGGACGAGCTTTTGTCTGTCTAGGAGTGAAGAGCCAATCAGAGTTTGTAACGCGTAAAGAATGGGCGGAGCCACAGCGGCTTCTGGAGACGCATCAGTATTAAAGGCACAGGAGGACGCGACGAAAGCTCAAAGGAGATGTTTGTAATGGCTTTCAGGCATTTCGCAAAGTTGATAAAGATTTTAAAAATACTTACGACATAACTAGAGGTACCTCAGTACAAAACAAATGCATCACAAATAATATATGGGCTACTACAAAACTTTAATAAAGAACGAAAAGACTAGTATATTGCTCACAACTTGAGTTTGAGTTCCTTTTAAAACTAGCAAAATATGATTTCTGTCTTAATATATGACAGGCTGCTGCATTTCGTATTTTAGCACGTTTTTTGGTGTATAATATGATTATATAACTCATTTCGGTGTAACATTCACACTTCTATCAGAGTATTTTCAGTTTATTTATATTTATCCATAACAAATTTTCCCACTAAGAAGGTAGAATATTAAATGTAGACTATTTAAAGACACATACTCCATTCTTAGTTGACACTTAAATGTGTTTATTTTTATTTATTTGGATACAAAAAAACTATAAAAAAAAAAACTGAACTTAAACTTCAAGAAGGTTTAGTGTGCTCAGTCTAGACCCAAAATACTGCATGAAGATGTCTGGATGACCCTTATAAAACTGCGCCAGGAGTCGTTTCTTCTCTTTCAGGGGATATTTGGTGTTTTCATCAATGTTTTTCAAGAGAGAGTACAGCTCATTTTTAGTCGAGTCCTTCATGGTCTCGGTGTACGTGTCTCTTGGCACTCGCTGACAAAACGGGGTATCTAACATAAGAAGAGAAGACAAATACTTCAAACCACTTTATTATTATCATAGTTAGGTTAAATGGCACTATATAAATATGCATGGTTATTACTGTTAACTAAATCAAACCATTTGTTAATTAAAATAAATATGAAATAAAATATAAATCATAATGACTAACTGTATTAAAATAACTAAAACCTAAATTAAAAACATTTATAAAAAGCTACAATACTATGCAAATAAAATAGAGCTGGAAAAAAAAATATTAGATGAAAAACTTTAAATGTGACCCTGGAGCAAGTCTTAAGTCGCTGATGTATATTTGTAGCAATAGCCAAAAATACAGTGTATGGGTCAAAATTATTGATTTTTCTTTTATGCCAAAAATCATTAGGATATTAAGTAAAGATCATGTTCCATGAAGATATTTTTTAAATGTCCTACTGTAAATATATTAAAACTTTTTTTGATTAGTAATATGCATTGCTAAGAACTTCATTTGGACAACTTTAAAGGCGATTTTTTTGCACGCTCAGATTCCAGATTTTCAAATAGATGTCCAATCCTAACAAATCATACATCAATGGAAAGCTTATTCATTCAGCTTTCAGAAGATGTATACATCTCAATTTCACAAAATTGACCCTTATGACTGGTTTTGTGGTCCAGGGTCACAAATGAAAAATGAAGTGCAAGTTGAAGCACTAAAATTACTAACTGCAATTATTAATTGAAATATATGAATGCTAAAATAACACTAAATATCATACCAGTTGTGGAAGAATCTCTGTGTTTCACAATGTCATCCAGCTTCTCACTGACCAGTTTGTGAAGAGACCCTGGAATCTAATAAAAGGAAGTATGATGATGTACAACAGCCACAACTAATTATTTCTGTATTATATCATTATTGATCAGTATTGTCTCAATTCATTAAAAAAGAAGAAACCTTGAAGATCTCCTGGTGGTTGTCAAGCATGAAGAGCATGAGCAGGTCGGTCTTTCCTTTCGTCAGACTCTTGCTCTGGATGACGGCTCTGGTGAACGTCTTCTTCACAACCACCCGGTTTTCAATCTGACAATTCGAAATAAGTGTAAACAGTTGACATTTGTGTGAATAACTCATTGCGTGCTTTATGACTCCTCACTTCTTTGTGCAGCTTGACATTTGCAGCATCTGCAGCCGCGGCCATAAACTCCAGCAGCCTGCGCAGTTCCTCGCGTGCAGACGCAGACAGCAGCTTCAGCGTCAGCTGCAGGACTTCTAACACTCGTTCAAACTTCCCATTCACTATATATTCACAGGTAAACAGAGAAAAATTGCCACAAAGAAAGGTTGTTTTTTTGGAAAGGCGGCATCATTTGAGGAGCGTTACTCACTCAGGAGTTCCATGATCTCAGTGTAGACGTCTGCCATGCTGTCACAGAGGAGAGGCTTGCGCTCCATGTGTCCGTAGTGTTTGTCCAGTACATGAAACAGCAGTAGTTTACAGTCATCCATGCTCTGGCCACCCTCTTCCTCACAGGAGAACGTGGGTAGTTCTCTGCTCACCTCCACCACAAGCTGATCCGGAAGGAAATCCAGCAGGTCGATGGCTGCTGACAGCCAAACATCAGCTCTGGGTGCAGGAAAACTAGTTAGGTCTGTCGGAGCCTCATTGTTTGATTTCTTGAGTTTAAATGTGGGGATGTCTCACTGTGATTCTTTGAAGGCTTTGAGAACCTCTCGGTCGAGGTAGTTGCTGGTGTAGAGCAGGTCAGGGGCATTATTACTGCCACGAGATGGGGGAGAAACAATCTTTGAGCAGTTCAGCACTCCCTCCAGCAGGGGGAGATCTATCAGCTGAGACAACCTCCGTATGGTCTGCTCCTGCCACACTTCTCTGACCACTGAAGGAGAGTTCATATCAATATTATTAAGGTTCCACCTAGGCTTTTCTCAGTTGTCTACTATATTTGCAATATGCATGCTGTGCACAGTACTTTCTGTATTCATTGCACTTTGCAAAATATCACTTTTTATTGACTCATTATTTGATCAGTTCAAAATCTTAACAAAATAATCATTACGGCATGACTCTACTTGCAACATGCAACAGGCTCAAGTGCCAATGAAGAGTTAATATTTGTATCTACTATATTCCCACAATACAGTATGTATACTTTTATAACTGCACTAATTTATATTTCCACCTCAGAGTTTAAAATAATTGATAAATTAAGAAATAAAAAGACAAATTATATTTGATTAGCTAAATTTGTTTTAAACATTTAAATATATGCTTACTATGTTGCCGTTAAAGAGTTAAAGTCAAAATAACCATTTACATTTTTTTAACTTTGAGGGATAAGCTTTTAGCTATTTAACAAAACTGGATCAAAAAAATAAATATTGCAATATGCATGCTACTGTATGTTGCCACCTCAGAGTTAAAGATGATTATGAGATTAAAATTATAAAAAAATTTTAAACGTTGAGGCATACTAGCCTTAATTTTTTAAAACAATTTAATAAATAAATAATGTTGCCACCTTAGAGTTAAAGATGATTATGAGATAATTTAAAGTGAAGTCAAAATGAAAACAAGTCGAAACTAAATTTTATAAAAAAAATAATTAAAAAAAAACTATCTATCTATCTATATCGGTCGGTCTGTCTGTAGGTTTATTTCTGTGTCCTCTTCTTGGCAGCTGTTTCTGTTTTCTGTGTCTGAGGCAGATTGATGTCTTGTGTCATCATTTGAAATGAGGGATGTGTTTGTGGATCACATTCAGGCTCACACATACGCACACTCTCGCTGGAGAAGGCAGCTGTCTGACCTATGATCAAACGCTGGTAATATACCATTCTGTTATCTGCGTTTCTCTGTGGTCACCTCAGTGGCTTTCTCTCTCTCACACACACCCCACGTCTTTCTTTGTACTTTGTGGTTTCTGCTGTTTTTAATTTGTTGAGTGTAGGGAATGTTTCTGTGCAGGTCTCTATGGTGAACTTGAAATAGTTGTGGCAAAAACTCTGCCAGATGCCCGAGGGGCTGCAAATACCTGAATGAAACATCTTAAAACAAATCTTTGTTTGATGTCAAAGAGAGAAATAAAATCATAACATATCTAAGGACCAGGGAAATGCTAGCATTTAAATAATTCAGCAGTCCTTTTGTTTGAAATCTTTGTTCCATCATTTTTTCAGTACTGTTAATCACACAGTACAGGTGAGAGAGGGAATCTAGTAGAATTTTAATAAAATACGTTCTATACATTATGAGATCATTATTTTGCTTTTGAAAGGACACACATATAAAAACAAAAGCTTTTCAAAATGTCTGAATTGAAAACATTCAGAGAATCAAAGAAACAAATTCTGATTCAAATATTGTTGATTCAAACATTTGGATGATATGAATTAGTTTGTAATATATTAAGAGCCATGATGCTCTGGCACTGCTGAGCTGAATAATTGTGACCTACACATGCATTTCCACCACTAGGGGGCAGTTTGTCTCCCTTGATACCTGATTCCAGGGTGCATCTGAGGCCAAATTTCATCTGAGATGCAAATCTTGGAGCAACACACATGCAGACAGTTACTGCTCCAGTCTGAAGTCCGCTGCCCGAACACTCACCGCAACACAGGACCGTCCAGATTCCCAGAGATCTCCAGATCAAACAAAGACAAACGGCTCAGTCTGGAGTCTGTTTGACTCAAACTTCCCCAATCAGTGGCTAAATTACACCATGCAGGATCCAAACAGAAGCAAACAAAAGAAAACAAAGCTGATTGGCTGAGGCAGAGTGTGCAGGGTGAGGTTTCAGGCATGTCTGACTGCGTCTGAGCTGCAGGTGATGCATTCTGCAGAAATATACAACTCAGCTGCACCAGAAGAGTTTAATCTGTACATCTCGGTTTGATTATTTCAGGTCAGCTAAACTTGACCAAAGTTTACTGGTTTATTTATGAGGGCCATAACCCAGGACATGTGGCAACATTTGGCTCATGAACAAAGCTGGAGGCATGTTTAAGTCATGAAATACAATAGACCTTTGCTTTTAGACCTTTAAACGCTTATTCAAATGAATCTGACTCCATGCTGAATAAATAGCAAAACAGTTTCTATGCAAATTATGGCTGATTTTGCATCAGAGCTCAAGTGCTCCATGCATGTTGATTCAGTTTTATATAAAAAGGCAAGAACTCCCAAAAAATCAATAAATAAGTAAATAAATACATAATGCTGAGAAATAAAAATGTGAAAAATACAGAGGAATAAAGTGGCAAAAATTAAAAATTATAGTTTTTATTTATTTAAAATAAATAAATACAGGTTTTGCTTGACTTAAAGTGATTGGAAATTATTTTATTAGAAATAAAACGGTAAAATTAAAAAACAAAATCTTAAAATATTTTGCTTTTGATTATTTAAATAAATGTTTATTTTAAAATGAATTAAGGACTGGCTTAACTTAAAGTAAATGGGGCATTAACTGGACATGAATTATAATAAAAAAAAATAAAGAATAGGTAAAATAAAGTTAAAGTATACATGGAATTTATCTTTTTAAAATTTTTCATTAAAAATAAGAAAAAAAATACATGTATAGGGTGGGTGTGGGTGTGTGTGTGTGTGTGTGTGGGTGTGTGTGTGTGTGTGTGTG